TTTCAGGTTTTCACTCTCACGCACTCATATATAAATAAGCTACCAGGTGATTAATTTATAGATGAACTTTCTCTTATTGCGTGATGAAGGTTTCTTCTGTGGCGGTTCCTCATTTGATTCATTGTCTTCAAGCTGATTAGGTTCATCATATATCTGTTCATCATTTTGATCATCATCATCATCATCATCTTCTTCTTCATCATAAGATTTTTTAATTGAATTTGATACCCTACGCGATGATTTCGTAGGTAATTCCTCGGTATAATTAGCAGGAAACATGCCACGCCGTCGAGTACGATCGTCATCAATAATTTCTCCGATCCACCAACCTTCGTGTTCTTCTAAAACGGTGATAATATCACCTTCCTCCATCGCAAGTTCATCTTCACCATCACCTTCATAACTATATATAGCCTTTACCTGTTTTTTTGGTGTAAAGGAACCACCTTGTATAACAAGGCATTAATGTAGTTAATATACAATTGAGATAAATACTTTAAAATTAATAAACTGCTCACTTGTTCTTCGGGCAGGAGACTGCTTGCCTTCCGAATCAAAAGATTTAACAGAAGATCCTGATGACTTGTTACGAGTCGATGCATTTGGAACACTAAGATTATTACTATCTTTTTTAGAATTTTTACTTGTATAATTTGTAGCTTTCCTGGCAGTTGATCGAGGTTCTCTGGAGCGATTGTAACTTGAATGTGAATGAGAACTTTCATTGCCAGAATTTTGATCATCATGCTCATCTGATTGAGAATTATTAGAATTTTTATTGTTTTTCGAAGTTCGACTACGCCGTGTTGATGTAGTCGAAGAGCTATAAATCAAAAAATTTAATTAATTATTAAATAAATTGCTTGTTGAGATTATTAAATAAATTGCTTGTTGAGTATATTTTATAAGATATCAACCTTTGAACCCAATCTTTTCTCAAGTTTGATAGAATTTCATAACTGCTTTTAAAATATTCTAACTGTGAATCTAAAAGTACAGTTAATTCTTGTATGTATTGATCCTAATAATGTTTTAATAATCAGAAATTAATTACAAATAACTTTGCAGAAAGTAGGTTTTTTTTTTTTAAAAAAAAAGACTGACTTCGGACTCGTTTATTGTTATCATCTTTTTATGAAGCTCTTCTTTGGTATTTTCGTATTTTTCTTTAGCAGCGCGCATTTCTTCTTCTAATTCCGGTTTTTCTTTCTTTGATTTTTGCATTTTATTTAATTTTGCGTCGTAATTGAGTCTACGAGATTCCAATTTTCTATTCATTTGCTATTAGTATTCACAATAAAAGAAGCATTTAATAATTTATTCAAATTAATAATATAGATGAATATATATATGTATATAGCATCTAAAGCCTACTTGATATTGTTTTAACTCTTCAATAGAAGCATCCAAACTTTCAAGAAATTCTTCACGAACTTTTGATGCATGTTCTAATTGACAACTTGCGACCTTTTCATTAGCAGTACCAAGTTTGACCAAAGCCGTTCCTTTAATGAATGCATATTTAGAATTATACATTTTAAAAGCATTAAGGTACAATAATGTGTAATAGAAAATGAATTAACAATACCGTAAGAAGAATCAGAGCCTAGCTCTTCACCATAAACCCTCATAGCAATACCTAAAGATTCGATAGGTAATGCTTTCGTTTTCTCGTCTATGGATGCCACCTTTTTTGCTAAGTATATATACATGTTTGTAAGTCAATTATTTTTAAGAAAAATGCAATATTGCTAAAGGTTATTGCAAAAGCCTGTAATAAATGAAAATAAAAAGAATACCTACACATAGCCTTTAAATAGCTGCTTGTTACAAATATGAGCTTATCTACGCCACTGTGCCTAGCATCAGTTCTATGTTGTAGTTCTTGAAATTCATCTGTGGTCTGCGTCTTTTGAGAAGCACCCACTTTTTCATTGGCCCACTAATGCCACGGAACAAGAACAAAAATGTATAGATTGTCAATAACTTGAAGCACTCTAAGAATAATAATTGAATGCAGTATCCGTAAGAGATCTACCTGTTTTAATTTTCCAATTTTCTTCATGTTCTCGAATTGTTTTTAAGGATCGCAAGTAATAAAAGTAATAAAGGAGCGTAAAAGATAATCGGTTGTTTATATTTGTAACCACAATAGAAAATAACGATAATTGAGATGAAACAAATGTGGAAAACATGGTTTATTTAAATGTTTTGCCAAGTTGTGTAATCATGCTGTTGTCTGTTTTTGGGTTTTGAATTTTCCTTTAATCAAGAGATTACGTTGTACAAGGTAAAATTTACTAGTCACGTACTATAACTTAATGGGCATAGTAAGAAAAACGGATCGAACCATATACAGGGAAGCAGGCAAATTCTAAGCATTTTTTTTCACCCTCTAAGATAGTCTCAATTAGGAAGTCTGAGACTCTGTATTTAGAATGGTTATTAGCTCACGGACTGCATTTCAGATATCGAAACCTAAACTCGTATTCTCAATCAATGATCTATTCTCAATCAATGACCTATTCTCAATCAATGACCTATTTATACATTTTGCACTAAATATAGAGATAGTTCTCTAATGACCAAATCATCCGAGATGCTACGCAATGCATGTGGGAAGTGCAAAAAAAGAATCGCAACGCAAGAATAAGTAGAAAATACTATCGGCCATATATTCCATAAACAATTTCAATGTAGGAGACTTCATTGTGCATGAAGTCCAAGAACCGATGGCCAACGAAGTGATTAACAACATGACGAAAATGAGACAATATGTATGCTGTCGATCAAACGAGATACAAAGCAAACAATATAAATATTCCAATTATCAGTATATTTGTTGCAGAGGAAAAATTATGGTAAGTTCTTGGCGTCGCTATAACGGACATCCACCATGGGTCTTTTCATCCAAGCTTGAGCCTCCCTGAATTACATAGAGTTGAGGCAAATGTACGCTAAAGTTGTCAAATAGTTGTAAAATGATTATTGATATAGACTTTGATATTTCTGATTATTCGTCCAACATCACGTAAGTTGTTTGACTAGCAATGGTAGCCACGGTTGTCGACAATGTTTAGATATCAAGACTTAGAGTCTATAGCGATTGGCATGGAAAAATTCACAAAACTCACTTGGGGACATATGACTTACACCAATCAAATTTCAAAATTTCAAAATATGCTTTTTCAAAAAATCGCTCGTAGTCCCTAACATATATACATGCTATGCCTATTCTTTAACACATTAACCCTAATACCGTAATTTGCAGCAAAATAATACCTCGGATCTCTTATATTCCTAGGGACAAAATCTTGATTAGTACCTGGTGGGTACTTTGTCAGGTGGAAGATACTTTAAATGCAATTAGGCTGACCAATAACTAATAGGATTATAAAAAAAAGATTTAAAGAATGTCACGCACTATATAACGTTTTAGATATACCTGATTAATCCCAGGTACAAATCGTGGGGGTACATTAACAAGGGGAATTATTTGTCGCAAATTCAGAAATTACGGTAATAAATTATTGTTATTTAAACCCTTAACTTTTAATTTGAGTATGTCACATGCTCCTAACCTTTTTTGGACACAACCTAATATTGGGTACTAACAGTTAGGGTGTCCAGGATTATGATCCGGCATAATATGCGCATAATTTGCGATTTTTACTACTGTACATGAAATCGCATAATCCGCTCACTTTCATGCAGCATGTAAACAAAAATTGATTGGTTAAATTTTGTTCCTGTGACTGTAGTCACCTGACTAGTCGTTCTTTTTGAAATTTTATTGGCTAATAACTCAAAATCCGCATAATTCGCATAATTTGCAATTTACCGAATGCATAATTTAGCATTTACCGGATCATAATCCTGGACACCCTACTAACAGTGTATAAAATTCATGTGCACAATGAGCACGTGTGCACGATTTTTTTTTTTGGTGTGCTTTTTTTAAATTGGATGTGCACGTGTGAACAAAAAATTTTTATAATTAATTAACTATAAGTTGTGCACAATTTTATTTGATTAGAATATTTTATCTGCAAAATTTGTTAAAATTTTAATTTTACGTATTATACATTGATAAAATTTATTTAATATTATACTTTAATCGATTGATATGACTAGGTCCAAAAACAATAAAACCTCGACCTCCTACTTTGACATCGATCCCATCTTTATTGGCTGTTTTTCAAAATGAATGCGATAGTTTAATGTTGGAAATTTTTACTCCTAAACAGCAATATCAACAAGTTCGTCAGGAACTGAGTCACGCGTTATACCAGCATGATGCTGCATGTAAGGTCATTGTTAGATTGATGAAAGAGAGAGATGCTGCTAGAGAGTAATTTTTGTGATTATTACCGTCTATGCTCATGATTATATATGTATTTAGTGACTATAATATTAATCACTACCATATAAGCGCGTAATAACGCCTATCTGCGCGTTAATTGATTGACCTGCGCGTTATTTCGAGTACGTTATTTCGAAATAAGAGCTGATTTTTAGAACCAAATATTTTTAAATAACGTGCATGTGCGCCTTATACAGTGAAACCTGAAAGCTGCAGAGTTAAAACAATTTTTTTTATTACTGATAATCAATGTTCTGCATGTTACATTATACATTCTATCGAAATATAATACCAGGAACGTAGTAGTTAACAGATAACTAGAACAAATTCCGAATTATGATTGGATAGTTGCCAGACATATGGAAATATTATAGATCGTGTATACATATATATGTATACATATGTGCATGAATAGGCGTGTTGGACTCATAAGAGAAAGTTCATCTATAAATTAATCACCTGGTAGCTTATTTATATATGAGTGCGTGAGAGTGAAAACCTGAAA